GATCTATTCTCTTGGTCCTCAGATGGTTTTCCCTACCCACCTCACTAACTAACATGTGCCTTGGCTACCATGTTCTTTTTAATGCCACTTGATGCTTTTTTGCTCCAGAAAAAGACAGATATTCATTAATTATTGCATCATGGGTTGCTCTCACCTTCTGCAGGATGCCTAGCGTGCTGCTTACAAGGTGCATTTTACAAAACATCCCTTGTCTGCCTCCTTGTTTTTATCAGGCGTTAACTCACATTCTCCTTCAAAAAGCAGTGGCTCGTTTCTAGGCTTATATATGTTCCACACACATCTTCATTGGCAAAGTGTTCTGGTTTATTTTCCTTCATAGTTTACCGGAGGCATTTGCTTCTAAACCATTCACACACACAGCTTTTCAAGTACATAGGCTTTTTCATTTTTTTCCTGCTTCCCCCAGTAGATATTTTATTCCATTTTTGTTATTTCTGTATAAGAGTGTTGATTTTTTTCATTTAAAACAAAAATATCAGTGATCCATCTTATAATGGCTTTTGGTCATTATTGTAAACAACTGTAGTAATATTATTTCTAGGGGTTTGCTGAAAAATTACACTTGGTTTTATATGGCTATAAAATAAGTCTGCAAAATATTATTAGAAATACATTCATGTTCTTTTACATATTAATATTTGGAATTGAATATACTAAAACAACAATTAAAATGATCTAGGACATATGCTGTATGGTTTTCTTTGTTTGAGTTCTTAGGATTGTGGCACCGATAGATACTTGTATTTCTAAGTACAGATATTGTTAATATGCTTGCATACCCAGCAAACTGATCTCTTGAGGATGAATACATTGTGTGAAATAACACCCGGTCTGCTATTCCTTTTTCAAAGTGTGAAACAAGCGTGTAGGGTTAGTAAATAAAGTTGATGTGGCAAATCTCATAATAGCTGCTAGAGGGCAGCAGTAACCATTTAAAAACACTATGAACTTTTTCTGAGGAAACTAAACCCTATCTAGTTACTGTGTGCAGAATACTTCTGTTTGTTTAGGCAACTTCAAGTTCCAGTGAACTTAGTCCACCTATACTGAGTGAATGGCCTTCAGTGTTACAGGATAAGCCGCTTTTCTAGGAAAAAATACTACTAAAAAATAATCCACTAAAAGCATGATAAAGGGTAAAAAGAAGGTCTTTCATATAGCCCCAAACCTTACTCCTGTTGAAGTCAAAGGCAAAGCTCCTTTTTGACTTTAATGGTGCAGGTCCATAGTGCTTTGTGCCTGAACTCTATTGTCTGTTCAGTTTAGAAGATTGCTTCCAAGTGCAGGGGGAGTTTATCTTCCATATATATACACATGCCCACATTCACATGCTCACTCACAACTGCAGAAGATAATGAATGACTCTTTAATATGAAAGTTAAGTATATTTAACAATCCATGGGGCATTATAAACCCCAAGGAGAAGGAAGAAAGGGTTATATAGTGTGCTTTCATCCTGGCCAATGCTGACTAGCACGCACAGTCTGACTAATTACTTTAAATGCAAGCCAGCTGCTTAACGGGTTGTAAAATCCATGAAAGGATCAGAGTTTAAAAAAGGAAAAATTGAGAAACTGATTTTAATAAAAATAAAATGGGTATGGTGAAAATTATTTTAAATAACAAATAACATTAAAATAAGTATCCTTCCTTTATTTAATAAAAAAGCACCCTAAAATCTTAAAGTCACAACGGAATAGTTTTTCAGAAGTCACACTTTTTTCTCTATTTTTGGGGGGCTTTTGCTTAAGACTTCAAGAAGTGAATCTGCACATGTTCATGCTTGCTTTATTTCTAGGTCAGGGTTCGGCAAACTTTGGCACGGGACTCGCCAGGGTAAGCACCCTGGCGGGCCGGGTGCCAAAGGTTGCCAACCCCTGTTCTAGGTCATTGAGCATTTTTCTGTCATTTTCCAACTTATTGAAAATAAATTTCAAAATCTGGAGCCACGCTCTTACCCAGTTTGGAACTGAATTAAATCCACTTGAATTCTGAATGAGTGTGTCTACACAGGGATTTAATGCGGGTTAACTAATCTAATTTAAATGCACACCTTTAGTTAATTCAGATTAATTTTCCTGTGTCCCCATGGAGACAAATCCTAAGAAAAAGAGAACAAGACACTGAAAAGGAGACCCCGAAGCTTCATTAGAGCTAAACAAATTAGTTGTGTATTCTTTCTCACCACCCCTTACTGAAAAAGGGTTGTGGTTTAGTGTTTTGTTCTGCTCCATTTCTAATCCGGTGCCATTGCCAGAAAAGGTTTTATGTTCCTGCTGTTTGGTTCCTTCAGAATAAATACCATAGAGCTGCATTGTTTGTGAAGCTCCCGATGCAAAGGTTAAAGTCCATCTGTTGGCTGACAGTGACACGTCATCTCGTCATTTGTCAATCTCAGAGTTGCATTCTTGAGCAGCCGACCCCTTTTTTTCCTGCTTACCTAGTTGAGATGTTACGTTCCTGACAGTAAGACAGTTGTGCTCAGCTAGCAAATCGCAGCATGTTTCTCTTCCGTGCTCTCCCTCAATTATTTTCCGTAACAATTAACACTCTACTAACTTGACACCCTTTTCTTGTTTGGCTTTGTAAACCATCATCCCTTTTTTTTATTAATTCCAGACATTAATATTTTCTTTCACGCAAGTGCTGCCATTCACCCATGAAAGAGTTTGAACATTATGTAGCTGTCAAGATACCTAGGGATTACCCAGTATGCCTTGCCTTAGTAAGTGACACCACTGGGCCTGCTTTTGAGATGTTTATTTTGAGAGTAAGCTGACAAGCATGAAGGCTTGATCCCAGAGTGGCAATCTTATTTAATTAAAGGCCTCTTTTTATTATAGTTTTTTCCCACTGTTTATATATATATATAATGTGTGTGTGTGTGTGTGTGTGTATCAGAATGATTGTTAAAGCCTGACTCACTTGAACAGTGCTGTTGTACAGTAAAAAGGGGTGTGTGGGGAAGGACTGGTCATTCAAAGTAAGGTCATTCAACAGCCTTGAAACATTTCTGTGTAATAATGCAAACAGAACACTTGCTTAGCTATGGAGCTTGTGTTTCCCAGAAAAAGAGGCGGGTTATGTTTTGTTTTGTTTTTTATTCTTGCAGAAACTAGATATTTGGTTGTTTGCTTATTTAATTTTATTTCTGAAAGGTTCCCTTCACTCAAAGTTTCTTTTCTATTTAAGAAACAGATGAGTTATAGCTGTAGACCACCTGCTTCCATTGCTCTATTCATGTTTTCATTCCATCAGTTCCTTCCCTTGTCTAGTCTTGATACTACCTCGTTGGTGTAGTGAATAGTTGGGGACTTTCTTTCTTTCTTTCTTTCTTTCTTTCTTTCTTTCTTTTTAATAATGCAGGGTGCTTCTGCTTATCCAATAGATTATGGCTTTCTCTCTTTTTTTTTTTTTTTCCTTCCAGCAGAGGGGAATTGGAATATTCAAGATAGCTAGGACTATTTGGTGTAGCCTTTTGTTAATTTATCTAATTTCCTAACTAATGCATCCTCTGAAGGTTGTTGGACATATTTTATGTTGGGTATTATCTGTGTAGTCCTGTCTGTGCAAAGTGCATGCTTTTGTTCAATATTTCTTTTCTACCTGTGTACTTAAGAAGTAAATATACATAATATTTCTAATTATAACTAAGGGCATGATCTAAACCAAGGGTCGGCAACGTTCGGCACGCGGCTCGCCAGGGTAAGCACCCTGGCGGGTCGGGCCAGTTTTATTTACCTGCTGACGCGGCAGGTTCGGCCGATCGCGGCCCCCACTGGCCGTGGTTCGCTGTCCCGGGCCAATGGGGGCGGCGAGAAGCCAGGGTGCTTACCCTGGCGAGCTGCGTGCCGAACATTGCCGACCCCTGATCTAAACCCCCTGTAGGCAATGGAAAAACTCCCATTGACTTCAGGGGGTTTTGAGGCCGGCCTAACTATGGGTCTCTTGGAGGACCAGGAAAACAAATTTCCTTTTAGCCCCTGTGCAACATTGTCTGTCCCTCCCTCTCCCTGCCAAAAAAGGAGAAAAAAAAATCTGCTATCATTGTGTAAGAAAAGAGCTTTCTGTGGGTTGTATTTAAAAATAGATTAATTGGGGGATATTTTGTCTTTCATCAAAATGTTTTCATACTTTTTATCAAGCCACCCCTTATGAAGAAGACCTACAGAACTGAATAGGGTTCTATAAAAATTACTCTAAAATCCTACAGAAATTAGTAATGAATAAGAGCCCTCCTATAGTTCTTTTGAATGAGTCTATAGAATTTTTTCGCAGTGATACAATTCTCTATTACATTGTGTTGGTTAGTTTCAAAAACCTGCCAAACATAATTATATTCATATTGAATCCAGTAAGATTTTCTATAAGTGATATTGATCAAATCTACAGGCCTTTTTGTGTATCCCATTTTATTTGTAATTCTGTGTCTTTATTGTTTGTCTGTATTTTATATAGATTCATCCTTGCTTTTGTTTGTTACTTCCCGCAAAAAAAAAGGGGGGGGGGGAGAAGAGATAAGAATAACCAAGGCTCTTCCAAGACGACATGGCAGAGAGCACAAGCACAATGTAGAATTCTTTTTTTCCTTCTCCCCATCAAATCACTTTCTAGCCATGTTCAGCAGAATCCCTGAGCTTTTTATTCTCAATTATTTGTTTATTTTTTGTGGTTGGTAGTGTTGGAGGGTTTTCCAGACTAATCCCATTTGTATTATTATTGTTTATAATAGGTACAAGTGATCCATATGTGAAATTTAAATTGAATGGAAAAACTCTATACAAAAGTAAGGTCATCTACAAAAACCTAAATCCAGTTTGGGATGAAACTGTTGTGTTGCCAATACAGACTCTTGATCAGAAGCTCCGGGTCAAGGTAAATTTTTGGTGTGGGGTTCTGAAACAATGGAAAAAGCTCCTCTGAACCAGTTGTTTTCTGTGTGTGTGTGTTCAATTTGATGGTTTGACACAGAGAACGTGTATTCAAAACACAATTAGGATCCAAAGTTTTCTAAGCTTTATATTCAAATGCACATGCATCTTTGCCAGATTTTACTTGGATGTTGTGTTTTCAGTGTGTGAATGCCCCAAATCAAAATAATCTGTTTGACTGGAGGCGTTTAAACCTACTGTGCCAAACTCTGCCCACAATTACATCTGTGCAACCTCAGTGAAATCAATGGGGTTTACCTGAAATAATTTAAGAGTGTAATTTGGTGAACTGAGTTGAGTAGAATTATTACCTGTGAGGTAGTGGTGACAAGCAGCAAAGCTCTTTCTCATTATGAGGTAACTTTATAGTTAACAGAGCTGCAAGCTACCAGTTGTAAGCACTAATTGCTAAAACATCTGTAGCTAAAAAACTGCCTGGTTGTGTACAGTATTCAATTGTACTATACTACCAGATATGTAGGAATGGTCCCAATCCATTGTTGCACACGTGACTCGGTTCACCATATGTCAAGAAGGCATTTCAAAATGCTGTTAAAATATTCAATTAAAATCTACATTAAAGAACAGAAATGGAGAATTATCCCTGAACAACATATAGGCTTTGATTCCCAAAATATGGAATGAAACTCAAAATGTCAGTTCTTTTTTCTGATGTGGCAAAACTGGCTTAGGATGTGAAAATAATATGCATTTATTTTGCTACCAGGTATATGATCGAGACTTAGCCTCCTCTGACTTCATGGGATCTGCATTTGTGGTGCTGAGCAACCTTGAGCTCAACAGGTACTACATGAATTTATTAAAATGTGTTCCTGCAGTTTAGTTTAGAAATGATCACAACACTTTTGCAGCAGCTTAATCTTTTATCTGTGGGTTGTCGGTCTGAATGTGGAGCTGGGAGACAGGAATTCATGTTTTATTCCTGGCTCTTATACTTACTTCCTGATATCTTGGGCAAGTGCATTTTCTTGCATTATGGGCCCCATGGCTGTACTATCTGAGTGGCTTACAAACATTAGTGAATTTATTTGCACAACACCTCTGTGAGGTAGGGAAATAGTATCATCTCCATTTTCAGAGGGGGAACTAAGGCAGAGAGAGATGAAATTGTCCAAGGTGATGCAGGAAGTCTGCATCAGATCTAGGAACTGAACACAGATCTCACAAGTCAATGTCCAGTCTTTAACTGTCAGACAATTCAGCTGGATAAGTCATTGTCAGTTTCCTTTCCTGTAAAATGGGGATAACATTGATCAGTTTTCTGCCTGTCTGCAGGTGGTGGGTTATCAGTATTAATTAATTGCTATGGAAATACAAAGTATTATTTAAAGTTGCTCTGCTGAACGTTGTATGTTTTGTGGGAGCTGTGAGGGGGAATATATGCCACAAAGAAATACGCCAGATTGCACATTTTAATATTTAGACTCAATTTTGAAAACTTTAAAATGTGCTAAATATCAGCCATAAAAAACAGAATTTGCACAATTCAGTGTGACCTTTAATAAGGAACCAGAAGCTAAAATGGAGCCTACAGATGCATTTCTTTTCTGCTTACAGAACTACTGAACAGATTTTAAAATTGGAAGATCCAAACAGTTTAGAAGATGACATGGGAGAGATTGTGTTAAACTTGAGTCTAACAGTCAAGCAAGGAGACTTCAAGAGAACTGTAAGTGGCTTAGGAAATCAAATTTATAGCTGGAATGCACAAAAAAAGAAAGCTTCCCTAATCTGATTTACTCTATACTGGGAAATGCCACCTTTATTTTCATCCTTTGAGACTCAGCATTGAAAACTTGGTAGTTCGTGATTTAAAAATCAACCACACTGGACTGGATAAAACTTGCTTATGTTTCTATCGCCAAGTGCTTCCGTTCTGTGGCTTTAAACAGTGAGCCCACGAATAGCAAGTCTCCATATATTTCAACGAGTGGTAGGTCTGTGCGTGTGTGTGTGAGATATCTCTAAAAGTGTATGCCCTACAGCTTGCAGGACTGCTCTTTCAGGACATGCCGTTTTCTCACTATAAGCAAGGAGTTTAGATTTTATGAATTTTTAAAAAGGTGTTAAACCTCCAATTAGATGTGATTTTTTTTTTTCATACCAGTTAAAAATATATATATCACTGTGAAATGTAAAAGCAAGGATTTACTATTAAGACTAGGTTGTGCCTGCCCTGCATTGGTGCACATTGCTGAGAGGAGGGACATGACTGAAGGAGCTATGTTCTTGCAAAACTGAGAACGGGCCAGGCATAGTCTTAAACCTCACCAGATTCTTCAGTGAGCTTTGGATCAGGCTCCTGTTGCAGAAGTGCTGTGGGACTCCAGTGTTGAAAGGGGTGTTAGAAACCCAGAAGGAGTTGGGCAGAGGCTGCAGAGAGTGTGATTAAAGGGAATAAGGGCTTTCAGGATCAGGGTTTGTGTGACTATTTTTTTTTTTAAATATCACCATTTGTGTTTCACACAAAACATGGCCTAGGCCTAAATCTGTAACTTCATCTTGCAGTCATTTAGAGAACAGGTTGACAGCGAGAAAAAACCCAAAGTATATCATTTGAATAGATCCAATTTTCAAGCAAGTCCAGTTTTAAATATGTAACTAAGTTTTGCTGGTTAAAAAAAAAAAAAAAAAAGGGAAGTGTTTCTGTGAATATTAAATATAACAGTTTCAATTTTTCAGAATCCAATGTGAACACGGCAGCCTACTGAGACTGTTAAACTAGACATGTGGGAATTCATAGTAGGTATGGGATATTTATGAAAGTGAGAATGTTACCAAAAGACGGGTTGGGGTGGAGAATATAGGAAATAGACTTCACAAGAAAGGTGTGCCTTTCATTATTGTTTCTTCCTAGTAGCTGCCTGTTTTTAAGAGTTGTTAATTTATTAGGTAATTTAATAGTGCATTGTTGGAAAGTTTTTGATATTTCTCCCTCTGCATATGATTATTTAAAAATTTCAACAGCAACCAAATAATGCTAATAAAAATTCCAGAACACTTATTTTTGTTGTGCTGATCTCACCTACCCTGTTTCTCCGAAAATAAGACAGTGTCTTATATTAATTTTTGCTCCCAAAGATGCGCTAGGTCTTATTTTCAGGGGAGGTCTTATTTTTCCTGGAGCTTCGGAGCCTTATATTCCGGGGTGGCCTTATTATCCGGGAGGTCTTATTTTTGGGGGATGCCTTATATTACAGCGAGAGGCAAAACTGGAAGTAGGTCTTATTTTCGGGGGATGTCTTACTTTCGGGGAAACACGGTAGCATTATATATACTGTAAGAAGGTAGCTTTTCCTATACAAATAGTGAGGAAATGACTTGCCTGATCTTAAAGGTAAGAAAGCAAGAAATGTTGCGAGCATGGCCGTTAATGGTCTGACCTTTCCTTAGTCATTAATGAGACACTCTCTCTATGTCAAAGTCCTCTAATAAACCCTGACCACTTCCCTTGAAATTTTGGCTGTTCTTACTAGTGCAAGCCCATTTGGCTGGGATGTCAACTCCCTCATTAACTTAATATGCAAGGCATGGGATGGCATCCGGGTCACTGTGTGTAGTAAGGGGCGAGACAGGTGCACAGTCCACGTGAGAGCTGCTGGAGGCATTTCTTCTGACTTGGGGAACAGTTCCTCTGGCAGCATTAAGGAAATGTGGGTCAGAGTGGCCCTGGGGATTCTGGGATAAGAGAGGGGGCAGCATTAGTTCTGGGCAGCAGCCTTGGGAATGCCTGGGTGTGTGGTTAATATTCAGAGTGCAGATGCCTAAAGAGTGGGTGCATGCTGTGAAAATGTCACTGACCATATTTTAGGCACTTGTGTTTCAAATGAAAATAGCTCAGCCATTTTCAATAGAATCAGAAGAGCAAAATGGTCTTGTCCATGCTATGCACTTAACAGCAAGCTGATTCCACTCCCCCCCCCCCTTTTTAAAATTAGCTTAGTAGGACCAGATGGCACCAAAAGTTTGAGCCATGCATCTTACTAATGGCTCAGGGTCTCTTCCACTTTTTATTCTTGATGCTTTGTTTCCTTTTATTTCTGGTGCAATGCAGGTGTTCTGTTTTGTTGTTTGTTACAATCTGCGAGGGAGGTAGTTTAATTGAATGCAGTAGTAGATCCAACTCTGTGCTAGTAATATGCCTTCCCTAACACAGTTTATAAACCAGTGTTCAGATTATTTGACTAACCACTTTACCTGTTTTCCTTCCTTTGCTTTTGGATTCTCTCTGTTGCAATGGTGGAAACGCATGAATAGAGATGGTCAAATCGGAAGAAACAAACTTCATCCAAGGTAACCCATATCCCTTTTCTCTGTAAATCTCTTGTTCCCTTTCTCCCACAAGAAATTTCTTCTTCTTCTTACGTAGCATCTCCATTACTGGAGGTTCACAACCATGCTAGCGCATTTTGTACGCTCCTCCGGTATTCTCTTTGTGGATGAATAGTCCTTGAACAACCCAGGATTCCACACCATCTATCCGAGATGGTTTTCTGTAACTAGTTTGAAAACTCTTAGCACAGGTGCAGACTGTCAGGCCCTCTGGACCATGATTCATATTCCTTTCTCAGTCTGACGGTTGAGTGAGAAATGTTGGACCTCTTATTGTTGTTTGTATTATAGCGGCAACTGGAGACTCCCAGCGTGCTTGGGTGCCCATTGTACACACACATTGTAAGGAACAGTCCCTAACCAGAAGAGCTTACAGGGTAAATTGACAAGGAGGAGGAGACAGAGAGATGAAGGGACTTGCCCAAGGTCACACAGCAGAACAGTGGCATAGCTGGGAATATAACCCAGGTCTCCTGACTCTGTCCAGTGTCCTATACATTGTACCATGCTGTCTCTGTTCTTGAGCAGAGATTTCCTCAGATCCTTCTGTTGAGGGTTTCCCCTGGTGGAATGAACAGGTATTTTGGCTGGTAGAAATAGAATGGTGCCATCAAGATGTGCATGTACCATTACTGGGTATCCACATGAACGTCTTCCCTTTGGGCCATTTTTCTTTTGCACCCACTTATTGCATCATGCTTATATTGGATTTGTAAGCTATTCAGGAAAGAGACTGGCTTTATATTTGTTCTGTAAAATGCTACCAAAAATACTTCTGTAAAGAGGACATGTAATGTACATTCTGGGCACAGGTCTGCAGATATTTTGGCTTAACCAAACAGTTCCAGGGATAATGCTGGCCCTCTACAGCTATATTCATACTGCAGAGATACAGCAAGAAATTGCTAAATGGAATATGACAGAGAGTGATGGAATAATTGAAGAGCTCAGCAGTTTAGTTTTTAACTAAAGCCCCTGAAATTACTAGTGCCCACACTTGATCAAATGTGGCCTGATCTCTCTTTCTGCCATGTGTGCGCGCACACACAGCTGTCTCTCGAATCTCGCTGGCTTGGAGTCCCAGGACAGGGAGCCAGATATTCCAACTCTATTCCTTTCAGTCCAAAACAGCCAAAGTTCCGTCTTGCTCTTTTTCTTTGTTGTACATTCTCGCTCTGTATTTTAAACACTTGATTTGAAATAACAGAGATAAAGCTTTAATTCATGTTGGCAGGTCATTCAGTTCCCCGGGCTCCAGCTAACATCTTAACATCGTTTTAAATAAAATTAAGAGATGCCAAAGCATGATATTGGATTAGTGGATGCAAGATTATTGTTGAAAGAAAAAATAGCTGCAACCCTTTGCTCTATTCAGTTATAGCCACTAGAGGGTAAGAGAGCTTCAGTTCTTCACAGAGGATACATAGTTCATGCTCTAGTGTGATCTCTTAAGAAAAGCTTCTGTGGCCATCCAAGGCAGTAAAGAATTTCCCAGAATGTGCTGGAAAAAATCTGACAAAGCAATATTTCCTAGTTTATTGATTCTGCTACTGCATTAAAACACTAGTACTGTCCATCAATAACCATCTTTAGTTAGGAAACTCTGGTCTGTGGAAACAGTACTGGCAGTTTGTGGCAGAACATAAAGGCTAGAAAGAAAAATTGTGAGCACAGGGAATATAGATGTCTAGGGAAGGCATGAGAGGTTATGGAAAAATGGCCAGAGGAGTGTGATGAGGTAGAAGAAATGCAGACGGACTGGATAAAGATACCAGAAATATGGGGGGAACATTATATAATGGATACACAAACTTAGCACTGTTGTTTTGGCTATTACACTTTGGTTGCTGTTCAAGGAAGAAAAACTCCATATACAATCCATTTGTGCAACTTGGTTCCTGATAAATCTCCAACGCACTGATTAAATTAAATGTGTCTCAGAAATCTACATCTCTAACATGATCAGGAAAGCAAATGTTTTATATTAGGGGTAGCTTAACTTCTTCTCAAGATGAATTAAAGTGGGATTTTATTGTAATTTTCAGATCCTGTTGTTATGTAGTATTTTCATATGTGGGTAGAAGGACTTAAAAAGAAAAAAAACAAGTTACATTTTTCAGTCTTTGATTTCTCAACTCTCTATATATCTGAGACAATTATGGCTTATAACTGGATCTGATCCCCTAAGTTTTATCTTAGACTGGATAGCAGATACCAATGTCACAAATGAATCTTCTTATTACTTTAGTCACCAGTCCATCTTGCAGGGACTCAGTAATATCCCCAATGGAGCAATGCCTCCACACTGGTACCAATAACTGTTGAAGTCCCATGTGCAGAGTGGAAAAAATATAAGTTAAACCTGTTGTTGAATACTTTTTATTTACTGTCCTTCCAACTCCCTATCTTCTTTAAGAAAAAGCAGATATAACTTTTTTAATACAGAAAATAGAAGACAATAAAAATCATGCAAGCATTGGCTATGGGTAGGATGCAGAGATGATTTCAGATACTGAATATTGCATATGAAATCAGTATGGTGCAAGAAGTATCGAACTGGGTGGCTTGTATATTTGTCAGCATATATTTATCACTGCTCTTGGGGGGCGGGGTTACATAAAAGAAGTTTTTTGGGCATGATTACATACCCAAAGGTAGCAAGATATGTGCACCGCATTCGGAGCCCCTTGCTTAGGATGGAAGTGTGGGATAGCATTGTTTTTTGATATAGCTAACTCCAGAGTGTAATTTGCTTCTTTGCTCATCAAACGGTAAATGGCGCTGCAGAAGGAAGCATGGCCCCTTTGTTTTTAGGAAGTATTCACCATACTCTGTCCATCTGTAAGAAAAACAAGATGAAGTGCCTCCTTCCCTTCCTCTTTTTCCAGGCTGCTTAGCCTATAGAGATATTTTGGGGCATAGGGGAACACTACGTCTGATGCTTAGTAGCCTTGTTTGTCCCAGGTGGCTAGACTCTTGCACCGAGGGTGCCCTGCATGTTATTTCCATCCTTTGTACGGATGAATAACCTTTAAGTGTTGAACATCTAGGAAACAAACAAATGGGTTTGCTTGGGGGAGTGGAGGGGATTGACCTGCAGCAGTTTATTCCTAAAACAAGTGATTCAATTGCCACCTTGATATCTAAAGCTGATTGAATAAATTGGCTGAAAAGGATGACTCTGGACTGAAGTGCTCCCACTCCTCTTATCACAGGGGATAATCCTTCACCCTCCTTTTCATGTGTGGGTTTGCCTGCCTCATTGCATTTGGCTCTCTATAGCAATACCCTGTGGGCAGTGGTGCCTCTGTGATCTTCGAACGTTTCACAGAGCCATAGAACTCAGTTGCCAAAGGGTCACGTGCCATCACAGCAATCTCCCGTCAGTTCAATTGCCTTTCTCATCCTCCGCTCCTCTTTCCCAGAGGGAAACTGCCTCTGCATAGCGGTTTCCCTGCCTAATGAGTAGAGGTCCAGAAACTTGTTTGTTTATTTTGCAAATTACAGTGGTTCCAATTTCTACTTTGACCTGTTCACAGGAATTCGAACACTTTCTGTTGTCCTGTCTCATCCTTTTAAGTACAGGAGGCGAAAGACGGGTTCATTTTACGCTTGTCCACCTCACTGTATAATTAAATAAATGTATGATGGTTTCTTTTTTATTGCTCACCAGCATTCAGAAAGGCTTTGACCCTTCCCCACAAGCACTGTGCCCTCTCCGGGGAGGCAGTGTAACCTAGTAGTGATTGGAGGAGCGTCTAGAAGTGAGGTCGCCTGAGTTGTGTTCCTTACCAGCTCTGCCACTGACTGGCTTTGAGATCGTGAGCACGTCACTTAATTTCTCTCTACCCATCTATAAAGTGGAGCTAATAATTGCCGACCTCATGGGGGTGATGCAAGGCTTAATTAATTAACACTGTGTAAATCGCATAGGCGACAAGCATGAGAGAAGAATTATAATGAAATAATTTTGATTTAAAAATGAATAATAAAATATCTGCCCCTTCTTATCTTGGGTGACATTTGCCTCAGTGCAAACTGTCCTCTCCAACACTTTAAACCCATGGAAATGACCCATGGTCTGGTCCAAACATTCCCACAGAGGAGTAGGCCCCACGTGCCAGCCACCTGCATTGTGGTGGGTAGAGCAGGCTCCTGAGAGCTGTTGCTCCCTCTCTCCCCTCCCCGCCCCTGGAGATGGACAGGGATTGAGCAGAGCTGGAACAAGCCAAGAAGCAGATTTTGACTGTTCAAGCCTCCTACTCTTACACTGGGCTGTTGGCAAAGCCAGAATTTAGTCCTTACGAAGTCATGCAGGTGGCCTTATGTAGCCCTTTGCACTGTATTGAATGTTGCCCTGAGGACTTACCTACTGGTTAGGAGGACCATAGACCTGGATTGCTACCATAAAACACTAGACTGATCAAAACCAGAAAGGATCCCTATGAGAGGGCTCACCAAATTTGATTTTAAAATTACATGATGGTAACTTTCTTTGTTGCTGAGCATGGAGACTCTAGCTTTCAGTTTAAAAAAAAATGTACTGTGGATAATAAAGTTACTCTGTCTGTTTTTTGTGAACTAGCTTCAAAAACATATTCCTCCTCCAAGGAAGGGAGGGAAAATCCTTGGACCTAAAGCAGCAAGTACATCACATCAAACATGACTGTGTTAAATACTAAAATGTTCAAAGTACGACTGAGATAGATAAAGGCTTTGATGGGAAGTGGATATTTCCCAGGGACATTACAAGCAATAATCCAGATGTTATAGTGTAATGCAACGAGTGTCCATGGATAGATCGGGAGCTCAAGCCAAGCAGTGCCTGCTGTAGGCCTTAGCCCTCCACTCCCATGCTGTTCTGCCATATGGAAGCAATCTCTAGGCCCCTTTAATAGCCAGCTTTGGATTCCATTTTCACAGGGCTCGTAGAGCTAAGTGGAGCTGTTTTATGGACAAGTTAGATAGAAGCCTTTCCAAGATAAACATCCAATTCAAAATTAGGACATACCAAGCCACAAAATTATTTTAGGGCATATTTCATGGAAGCACTGCCATTTTTCTTAGGCAATTGCCAGACTGTAGGATGCCCTTTGATCCCTTGTGGACATTACTCCCTTTTTTATAAAAAGGATTTTGAAATAGTTGCAGTGTTTAGGGAGGAATATATCTGCCGGGACTTTGAAGTATGTCCATGGGAACAGTCATGCTTTAGCTTTTTGGCCTACAAGATGAACTTAAAAAAAAATTTGCACTGCAGCTGGATTTATGAATCAAAATCTCATTTTCTTTTTAAAGGTAGGAATTTTCATCCAGTGTGCCAGGAAAGCCAAGCAGTGTGTTTAAATAGAAGTATATTAATATGCATGTGGGATTCAAACATTTGGGCATTTTAACCAGTAAAAAGCAAGTTAAAATTTGTGTATGTGCCTCCCATGATTTAAGAATTTTGTTACTGGGTAATTCTTCCTTAAAATGTTATTCCCAGGCCTGAAGTGCTCTTGAAATCTTTTTTTTATTTAGTAACACCATATTGTTCTTGTTTTTAAAGCTAATGCATCCTGTTTTCATGTGACTAGTGAAATCTCCTCCTCCCTTTTGGACCCACCAGTCTGTCATGATTGAAGCACAGAAGCATGGCATGTTTAAAATTGTTGCATGGCAATAAAATATGGCATGACTTAAAGTGAGAAGAAAGGTGTAGCCTTAAGTTTCCAGATCTCTCTGCTACTCCCCCCCACAAAAAGGTCCATTTAGTCATTTCCACTGCCCATAAAATATTGCCAGTGCTATAGTGTTATGTGCCGCTACATGATGAAATCATAAAGTTAATAAATATGTTGTAATTGCCATATAACCACCAGATAAAAGTCATCATGTTTCAATGGGCCTCAGTATTTTTGATTCACAAGCTCAAATTCTGGTAACATAAACACTAAAGACTAGCAAACAAAGAGCTATAGGTGCATAATGGGAAAGAAGGGTGGTCTGGTGGTTTGAGCACCAGCCTGGGAATCAGGAAATTCATGGTCAGTTCCCATCCCTGCCAGACTTCCTGTGTGACCTTGGGCAAATCACTTAGTATGTCTGTGTCTCCGCTCACCACCTATAAAAAGGGGTATAATAGTACTTCTGCATCTCCAGAGGTGATGTGAAGATGCAGTAGATGTTGTGGTATTTGGAGTAAGGAAGGCCATATAAGTACCTAAGAGATGTATCCAATAGTGTCTTTATGAAGTCAACTTGTTTTTCAGTCAAGTTTCCTACGAAATGTGCGACTGTCTGAATCCATGCGAAAGAACGAAATATGGAATGGAATTGTGACGATCACTTTATTGGAAGGGAAGAATATCCCAGGAGGGGGCATGACACAGATTTTTGTCCTGTTAAAACTGGGAGATCAAAAATATAAGAGTAAGGTAAGTATTAACAACTTCTATAAGTGTGTAAGGTAGGGCAAATAAGGGGTCTGCTTTTTTTCTTTTTTCTTTACACCATTGGAACTCTTTCTTCAGTGGAGTTGTTCCTGATTTATAGCAGTGTAAGTGAGAGCAAAATCAGGTTCAAGGAGTTTAGATTTTTTTATGTCCCTTTCCCTCATATGTACATTTAATTGCAGAATAGGAAATAGAGAATATGGTGTGTGTGTGTGTGTGTTTATATATAAAATATACACTTCACAGTGATGGATGCGCAACACTAATATAAAATGAAACAGGATTCATGCATAACACATAGTTTTGTTCTCTGCCAATACAGAAGTCATTTTGTAATGTTAAGTGTGCTGTATAGGGCAGACCCTAAAAACTGTGCATTGACATTTTAAAAACATTCCTTTACTTTTAAAGAATATACATATTTAGTATTAAAAAAGAACCTTTGAAATTTCCAGTGTTGCTGCCCAGAGCTAGTTCTTCGTTCTGTTCTTCATAGAGCTGAACCAGAGTTCATGTTTACTTGCACCCTGTGCAGCTTCCCTGGAGTCCATAGATTGAATGGAGTTCCAGTGGGTGGGCATTTCACCCTTTCATTCTAAAGACGGGGGGAGGCGGGGACGGGGAAATGCAATTAAAGACAAAACAACAAAACCCTCTTAATGCAAACAAATGAGATAGATATTCTAGACTGGGTTACAGGACCTGATACTTCTAGAAACAAGCCCTGATGATCTGACTACAGAGATTCCACAAAATGTGATCATCCTGTGGTTGTTTTTCAAAAATATATAAATGATTCTAACCAAAGAGGAACAGAACATGACACTATTTCATTAGAAAAGTAGTTTTAAAAAAGTAATAAACAGATTAGTTAATCCTTATAGTTAAGATGCCATACCTCCATCTAAGATGCTCTTTTATGTTTACCTTTAATGCAATAATAAATATTAAAATTTTATGTTTTACATCCTTTTATGGGGATTATTTAACTTACCCTTAGTCAATCACACATCACACAAAAGCAGACAAGAGGAGGGAGACCATAGCAGTGGTGCAGGTAATCCAATATCCTGTCTCTTGTAATGGTCAATGACATATAGAAGAACAGCTGGTGTACTTCCAATATAATCTAATACAGGGATCAGCAACCTTTGGCACGCAGCCCACCAGAGTAAGCCCCCTGGCACGCCAGTCCGGTTTGTTTACCGGCCACGTCCGCAGGTTCGGCTGATCGTGGCTCCCACTGGCCGCAGTTCGGCATCCCAGGACAATGCGGGCTGCGGGAAGCTGTGGCCAGCACATCCCTCGGCCCGTGCCACTTCCAGCAGCCCCCATTGGCCTGGAGTGGTGAACCGCGGCCAGTGGGAGCCGCGATCGACCGAACCTAATCTAATATATTGTGTATTGCAAGAGATATTAAGGTCCTCATCCCGCATACACTCATGTTCCTGAGTAAATTTATGCACATGAATAGTCTCACTGAACTTAATGGAACTATTTGCATGGATAAAGTTACTTGTGTGTATAAATATTTGCAAGATGAGATCCTAACTGCTCATTCCCGCCTCTGCTAAGGTTTATTTTAACATAAAAGAATGAAAACCTGGGACCTGATTCTGATCTCATTCAAACCTGTTCAACCTCACTGACTTCCAAGGGCTTGCCCCTGATTTATGCCAAGTTAAGTGACATTGATCCACGCCTGTGGTCTATTTAAACTGGAGATGTTGGTTCCACTTTCCTATATGAGCATTTCTCCCGCCACACAGTCACATTATGCTTTTCTATTTATCATTATGGGGAAGAAAACACTTTTAAGAGAAATGTGGATCTGCATGATAGGCTGCAGAGCCTTGCTGGGGATGCTCCTCTTGGTACTTGATGCCCAAACATCTGGCCTTGCTCTTGTAGATGAAACTGATGTATACATAACTGTGGAAATAAGTGCCATTTAAGAAAAGTAAATATTATAACTGCATGTTTTCTAGACACTGTGTAAGAGTGCAAATCCTCAGTGGAGGGAACAGTTTGATTTTCACTACTTCTCTGACAGGAAGGATATGTTGGACATTGAGGTCTGGGGAGAGGATAACAAAAAGCATGAGGAGCTTTTGGGAATGTAAGTTTTTAAAGTGTGGATGATGATGTGATTGTATTTTTAAAATTAAATGTTAACAATGTAACCTGTTCTGTACTGTCCAGAGTAGCATTATACTTTGCTTTACATTATTCTGACAGCACCCAGATGCTGCTGTGAGGGGAGCAATATAAATACCTACATGTGTTGTGTTCTAACATAACATGCTGGTTACTTGAGCAGAGCTTGTGACTCACATAACTACACAATTTCATTCTGTTTCACAAATTCATTGTAGTCTGGCCTGTTGGGTAATCGAGTCTGGCCTGTGGCCAATACAGGATTTTTTCCCTACTGAATATTCTCTAAGATTTCCCGTTATGCTTTAAATTTCACAAGTGATGGGGCTTGCATCACCTTTGCTGATGAGATTTTTTCTTTTAAGAATTAGTATTTGAGCTTTTTATATTTTCATAATAGGGAAGTGTGTATCCTATCTCTTTGTCCTCTCCTTCCCCTCCCATCAAGTCCCATCCTGTTTGTATTAGACTAGAGGTCTCATTATCTTTTGTAACCCTTGTCATACATTCCTCCTCATTGTCTTCTCCTTTGTTTGACCTTGCTGTGTCACTACTCAGTCCCTCATCCTGAAATTGGATCTACACAGACAGACACTTGTAGCTGTGTGGAGCCCCCCATGCGTCTACCTGTGCATATCCAATTTCAGGATCAGTGTCTTAGCGGATAAGTTTAGGTGAGTGGCAGACATTGCTGATTTGGTCGACTTAATGTACCCTCTCTAAACACACACACATATTACATCATTTGAAAGCTTATTATGTCTACTTTAAGATGAGGTATGATGTGGAGGTATCAAGTGGTGTCATTACCATAGGAACAGGGATAAACAATGACACCATCAACATGTTAAAATGACCACTTTGAAATATTTGTATTCGTTTGTTAGTTTAATGACCACAAAGCATCACAACAATCATCTAAAGGTTAAAACAAAATCTAATAATAAATGTGTACAGGTATCATTGAAATGTAATAGCTCTGGTGACATGTCTAGTCAACATCATTATCGTCATATGCTTCATCACTATGATCTCTGTCAACTGTCAACAGTGTGTGGGTTACCACTATCTTCATTGCATTCTGTGCAAGGAAGATTGTTCTGAAAACAGACACAGTTCATTGTGCAGTGACTTCTTCTGGTACAGTCACAAATAAGGTCTTGTAGAAGCTCAAATGCCACTGGGCCCTTGAAGAATATGGAAAATACTTCATTATCCACATTTTTCCATCTCATTTACCCATGTGCAAAGACATCCAAATCTTTGTTTGTCAAGATGCTTTTTTGACATGCTCGTCAAAACTATCCTCGCATGGTGAGAGTTTGGCCAGTGACTTATCCTTTTTTGATGGTTAGATTGAGGCACAAGCAGTTTAGGTTTCCGTTTTTTTTCTTGCACTGGTCATTCAGCACTGCTACCAACTTAATTGCTACCAGAAATTGTAGCTTGCCTATCACTCTCTCATTTGGCAAGATCTCTGAAACGATAAGCTCTATTTGTTGCGGCATTTCCCAATACCAAATAGGAATGACACAAAGTCACAACCTTTTAATTCGTGGCCAGCAGGAAATATGTTGCAGAGTCAGGAATGAGTCTATCAAAAATTGTATGTACAGGTATGAAGTGACACTTATCAGTTGTGCTGATAACATGTGGATTGAAATAGACACCCTTATCTATGTGTTCCATTTCTCCAAAGTAGTGAACAGCAAGGACCAAAACATCTATATCAGTTGATCTAATTACTAAGGTTCCTTTGACCCCGCCCCCCCCAAGAACCCCAAGAGCCGTATTGGTGCATACAGCATGCAGAAGCATCCTTGTGTCCACCTCCTCTTGAGTACTGTACAAGTCTTGGGCTTCTATAACACCTCTGCTGGTGATGGACTTTGCTACTTCTTCATTGGAAAAGCCTCCACCAAGAAGGACGTTTGTGTAGAGTGTGCTTCTACACTCTCAGGTGCATTTTGAACCATCTCCTCACAGTGAAATTTGACAAGCGGCTGCTTGCTGGATGCCATGTTCAGAAACTTTTTCCATGGAGGCACAGAGCATCCACCAATCACCTGGCATTTCTTGCATCCAACCTTAGATCCTGACTGGCACTGTCTTTCTACAGTTTCACAGAGTTACTGTTGTCATATCTGTCAAAGACTTCAGTTACAGAAATAGCTTTGTTAAATCATTAAGGACCTGCCTCAAATACTCAGCCGCCAATTTATAGTACATGTGGAATTTATCTCCAGCCATCATTTGTATGACAGCCAGGATATCTCTGATGTACACTATGGTTTCTTTGTTGAATGCTATTAGCTTATGGATTCTTTCACATTGAACTTCCAGCTGATGTTCTCTCTGTTCTTCTCATTGTTCCATCGGCGTGGAAGATGGACATAGGCACAGGTCCTATTGGATGACTAAGAACAGTTGCCATTGAAACACCATCTCTGCATCTTGCTAAAGACAGGGCTCCATGGAAAACAGTTTCTGGACTGATAGCTGCTGTGATTGTCCCTCCCTTGCCAGACCTAAATTTGGTCTTCTTGGGCATGTCAGCAAATGTTTTGATGTCAGATTTCTTGACTGGGTTGAGGAAGCTACGTGTCCCATCAGAATCAAGTGCACCTCTCACAAGTCAGTGTATTACAAAATGTTGATATTTGCCTTTTTTGCCACATGCTAAATGGCTTCATCATTTCTGGGGGAGGGGGGGGGGGGAACTTGCCCATTTGAAACCAATAAAAAAATTGTAATACATTGACCTTTGGTAGCTTTGACCTATAAACACCACATTAAGGCATTGAAATTACCTTAAATGGTAGAAATTGTAGTCATAGTCCTGTTGCAGTGTTTCTGGAACTGTGCAAAAGATTTTCTCATTTTGGGTACCATTCTGTCACCTCACCTGCAGGCTTATGGCACTACCTGACAGCTCCACATCATACACACATAAAATAAGCTTTTAAATTATATCTGATGTGAGTGTGTGTAGAGAGGGTACATTAAACTCCAAAAATGTGGCCCTTTTTGGAGAGTTGCTGCACACTTCATTATTTGGGGCAAGGACCCTGGCTTTAATTGTTTTAAATTTAGCATGCTTTGAGGGCATTCATTGGATAATAACTAGTAGGAATAGTCTACTGCTTCATGCATTCAAATAATTTGCAACTTTTCACTAAATGCAATGATGCCCTCCGGCCATACAAATATTTGTGGTTTCCCAGAACAGGAAATGTTTTCTGCTGAATACTTTTGCTTATCACATGGACAAATGTTTGCAGAAGAATCTGTTTCTCTCTTTCTTTCAAGGAATACATGCTCATTACTTTTGATATTTTCTGTTCCTAGTTAGGCCACAAATGCTAGTACATTTCCTATCTGGCCTCAGTTCCCTTAATGCTGAAAGGATTCCTCTTGGTTTTCTTTTAGCATAGAGGGAAAAAAGACTTAAGTAATTTTTCAGCAGCTGGAGTTCACCATTTGTTGTGGCAAGAATTCATCAGTGAATTGGTTATTTTTGCAAAACAATAGCATTATAAAAGAGTTTGGCATTTAAAAAAAGGTGTCTGTGTGGTCTAGAAGGTTTTTTTAGGTTATTTTTTTTACTATTTACAGAAAAAAAATCTTGTGTCTTCCCAAGTGCAGGGAAATACTCTCCATAGCAACACAATGTACAGGAAATGTAGAGACAGCATTTACAATTAAGAGTCTAGAAAGGGTGTTCCAAATATAGGGGAACACTGTTTCTGGATGTATAATACAAGCCTTGTTCTCACAGTGTAGAAACACCTGACACTCAGTAAATATTTTTTTTTGTGAACAGTTCATGTGTAGCTCTAATCTGAAAAGCAGTTCTGCAAAACATAGCACTGTTGTTTTGTCTCAATGATTCACATGCCATTCTGTGTTCTTCCTGGCACTTGTATCATCACCCATAATAAAGAAAAGATTCTATGGAGACAATTGTACCCTGGGTTGTACCTGTGCAACCTCCCCTGTCTCCAAATTCTGTTCTCTCCACTGTGCAACCCAAATATTTTCAGTGAAACTGCACAGTTGTGAGCAAGGGCAGAATCTGGCTTTGCAATTGGAACTTAGTTAACAACTCTTTTGCTACTCAGCAAGCTAGAATAGAATCCCCTTTGCTCTCCCAGAGCCATATTGGCTGTGCTGTGCTTGTAGGAGCTAAAAAATTAAAGTAAAATGTGCTTTAACATGGAAGCAGCCAGATCTGACTAGACACATGTGGTGAAATCCTGAACCCACTGAATTCAATGCTAAAACGTCCATTGATTTCCACAGAGCCAGGATTTAACTCGGGGAGTGGTTCCTTTCACTTAAAGAAGTGTCATTTTTACATGGCCCCTCTTCTAGACGTAACTGGATTTTCAGGCAAACTGCTACTCTTGACTGCAGGTGCTGTGGCTCCATTGGAGTCAGTAAGATGGTAGCCTTACCATAACATCAAAGGGTAGGGCATAGCTGGGCTTCTAATTTTCTTCTCCTGTCTTTCCTGAGGAGTTCTTATCTTCCTTTCATGAGATACAAACATTGAGTATGGAGCCAGTACAGAGCTGTTCTGTGTCCTGAACTGTAGATATTGGAGCGTGTGCGATAAGTAGTATGCTATACCTTCCGTATAAAGGTCATGTTATTGTTAGGGCTTAGGACTTTTGTCCACTTCTGAGCTGGTCAACAAGCTATCAGAGCAATCTCTGATAGCAATCTCAGTCACTCTGTCAAGAAAATAGCCCTTTGGTAATTTCCCCCCCCCCCTTGCTATATGTAGTAAGATAATCTCAGGGTCTTGGTCAAATTACATGTTGGGTTATTAGATTCTGCCTGCCTAATTCCCCTTGCATTTCCAATCAGTATATAAAATGAGGAAGAAAACTGTATCTGAAGTGTTGTGTAGTTCAGCTGCCACAGCACAACACCGAGGTGGCTGATGTCAGTTCGGGTGAAATGATCCTTCTATTTAGTCTGCATAGAACTGTTAGTAACATTTGTTCAGTGTTTTTGTATCCATCAGGATAAAAGGCAAACTTTAAGCAGAAGACGATGTTGATGGGTTAATAAATGAAGATGTTAAAGTTTGCAGAATCTGTCTAGGCTGAATGGAATTGTTTATGTGAAATTCGAAGAGAATGTTTCCGCATTAAGGAATATGCTTTGAGAGAGAGACACTGTAAAATGTTGATTTTACACAAATTTAGTTCTAGAAATAGGTTTTAGGAAAATTGCTAGACTTAAGGAAAGATCATTATAAGCCATTAAATAAGAGAGTGAGTGTGACATCTTTATGAGGGATGCCTCTGGCAAGTACCAGTAGTATCTCTGCACCAAGAAACAATCCAATTATACAGCAATGCAGTAGGTACTGAGTAGTAAGGCTGTGAGAGCTGGACCAAACCCCTGGTTTTGAGCTCCACCAAGCTATAAGAAGAGTTCGGAGTCAAAATACCTAACTTTAGAGTGGGTGACACCAAAACCCTATATCCAAACACTCCTGGCCTTTGTGGAGTTTGAAATCGCTATCCAAATATTAAGACTCATCTTTTTAATCATATTTTCTTTTATTGACTATAATCTAGTCAAGTGCTGTTTGCCTGCAGTATAAAATATTAATATAAATTGTGGTGATCAGTAAGAGGTTAAGATCAATTGCAGTGAGTAAAATCTAACAGAGTAAAAACCAACAAACAACCCCTCTCCTAAAGATTAGCACTGAACTCAAATGATAAAACTGCAAAATTATTAGAAACAAAAAAGGGGCAAGGAACTGAATGATGCCTAAGTATGCAGACTGCAAATGGGCCAACAGGGCAATCTTTAATACACATTAAAATATATTACAACTAGAAAACCTTCATGAGTGACCCGGAGGTGGGAAAAAGAGTCTAGAAAAATGGGATATATGTATATAATGTGCCATGTTGGGTGTGTGTTTGTTTGGCCACCTTGGCCAACATACTAGGGATTGAACCAGTGACCTCCAGAGCTAAACACGTGAATTTCTACAGCTGGAATTGAAGCTGGAGTCCGTAACAAACTCTGATTCTGTGTGGGTAGGGAACAGAGGGGGGGATGCATAACACATGCTGACCAGTAGGTTACATCTGTATCTCTACCTAACATGTACAGGTGTACTAATATGGGGGGAAAGGATTAGACAGTAGGTTTTAGAGAGGTGATTAGAGCCAAGTACTGAACTAAGAACTGTGGAAATGTAAATCTGGGGGAAGGAGGCAAGTAGAAAACTGAGATTGCCACTACACAGAAATGTTATATTAGGAATTTAGCTCAAGGGGGTATTTTGGTCTCCTAAAAGCATAAATAAATGTGTAGGTTTAGTCATTTACTCTCCATTTGAGCTGACTTTGAACAAGTGATTGAATTACTTAGTATTAAATAAATAAATAAAGATATCCTATCTCCTAGACCTTGAAAGGTCATCAAGTCCAGTCCCCTGCCTTCACTAGCAGGACCATGTACTGATTTTGCCCCAGCTCCCTAAGTGGCCCCCTCAAGGATTGAACTCATAACCCTGGGTTTAGCAGGCCAGTGCTCAAACCACTGAGCTATCCCTCCCCCTTCATGTGGTGCTTCGTCGTAGGCTTGTAAACTGCTGCCCATCATGGTAGTATCTGAACTGCCACATAAAATCAATAGTAATAGTAAAGTTCCACTCACGTGTGTAACAGTAAGAGAGGAAAAAAGTGGTTTCCAGAGTGTATAGGAAGTGCTGTGAAAATAACTGGACCATAGTAGCAGTAGTCGAGAGCTGATTGCTGGTGTAGAAATTACTACATTCATCTGTTAAACTCAATTCTTGATTAATTTTTCACGACAATTTGTGCAATCTTATCAATTAAATTAAATGACGCAAATGAGTCAGATTAAGTGTACTAATTCTCTGAGAGTTTTGCCTTTTGCCAGTGCAGATGTAGAGCCTGTTTGCAATTTTCTAAGGAAAAACTGTACCACATATAGACAAGGCATACCAGCAACTTGAGTGAACACAGATGTTTTGAGTCAGTTACTTTCCATGGAAATCAAAAACGAGTTGAGGAAACAATGCTTACACTCCTTCTCCTGCTGGTTTCCCCTCAACATCTGCATCCCTCCCCACACCCTTACACTCAATCTTCTCTTTGACCTTTTGTTGATATTAATTTTTTGAATGGGTGAAAACAGTCAGCCTTAACCAAAACAAACTGGAGTTAAATATAACTCTACTTTTATGACATAGATTTCTGATGAAATTATGTCTGTGTAGGAGGTACTCCTTTCTCTCACATAATTGCCTTCTTCCCTTCCCCCCTCCCCCACCTATTCTTATTATACATAACACCTAAAGTTGTGATCACTAAAAGAGATTGGAGAAAAAGCAATATTTTCTGAGTTTTCCTCAGTTTTGCTTCGTGTATTTTGCAACATTCTACATACAGTTACCAGTATTGAATGAAAGCTGAAGCTGAACTTATTTAGGAGAGTTAGGTTGATAGACTGTGAGAATCAACCAGAAAACATGGCAAAGGTGATATTGATCTCCTGGATTAAAGTGATAAGAGTTTGAGGAAAATGTCTTTGAATTTCTCTTCCCCCACTTCCTCGCCTTCCAGGACTGAAGGTGTAGCAAGGAGCATTAAATGCAATCTCTCGCACTGGGAAAATGGGTTGAAATTGGTCTTTGTGTATTACATGGAACTTTGGTGCTCTTTTCTTGGTTACCTTGTTTCCTCTTCCATGGCACTTGGGTGCAATCAATAAGAATAAACTTACAACTAGTTGTGTGTTTAACGCTGTGCACTACATCGAGTTCACAGAGAGTGAGAGGCATGTCCATTGATTCCAGTAGTTAGAATCTTATACAAATAAACACTTCCTAATGCAGAGCAAGTGAGCGGCTTACACACCAGTGACTTTTACTTCTTAGGTTAGATTTTTTGTGTGTGTTAATTTAAATGTTTTTTGAGAGGTTTTTCCAAACATTTACAGAAAATAGGCTCTTAAAAAGCAGAAAGCATGCAATTTATAGCAGATGGATACAGACCGCTCCAGCTCTACAACTGGAATGGGATCAATCAGGAGCAGTGCATGCACCATTTACCCAGAAGAAACCCACCTAGGGGACCCCTGTGGAATTTTTGCCTATTAAGACAACACCTTAACAAGTTTTGTTTAAATAAAAACTTGTCGGCAAGCATTAAGTGGAGTGAGAACTCTCTCTATCATCCATCTCACATCCGCTGGAGAAATGTGACTCCCCGTATACCATGGAAATAAAGCTTCTCCTTCCTTGCTTTTTTTTTTTTTTTTTTTTTAAACTGCAAACTTTTGTTCAGCTTATTTTTAAATGCCAAAACCAATAGACCTTCCTGAAAGTTCCACTCCATTTACTGGACTTCCACATAGAAGGCAGTTAGCTGCGCTAGGTGTATAGACTTTGTCACATTTGACCATTTGCTTTCAGGCTCTCCAGCAAACTCTCTCTTCTTACCCCAACCTGGTCTCTTGTTTTGTTGTCTCTCATTAATGTGTGCTTTTTTTTTTTTTTCTTCAAAAAGTGTCAGAGACTATAACAATGTGCATTATGAGCTGGCAGGTTACCTGCAAGCCACACTGCCCCTCTGGGAAATATAACAATACACTGAAAGCCTAGATCTAGTAAGGTTTGTAAAGGAGATCAGGGCATACAGTACAATGTAGCATAAAATGAAGTCTATGCCTTAAATGAAACTGGTATTTTAGACACAACATTTTGACTTTGTATTTCCACTCAAATTATAATAATTTTACCTTTTTAGAAATCAGAAGACATTGGGGTTTTGTGGGGAAGGAGAGCAGAGTTGGATTTAAAACCTCACCACTACAGAGGCTGCAGTCCTAACATTCAATCCCTGTGCTAGTGCAAGGAAACCAGAAATGAAACTGACAAGAAACAAAGTGAAACTAACTAGCTTTTTTCTCATTCCGTTTCCACCCCCCCCCCCCCCCCCCCCATTTCCCCCAGGTTGACCAAACAGCCCAAATGGTGAAAAGTAAATTAGATTTCTAAACTTAGTTCATTTGCATCTTTTGATCCTCATTGATGGGTAAAAAAAAAAGGCTTATTTTTTAAAAATGTATATGTTGGATTTTATTTGTCCTATTAAAGTAATCCTCTTTATTATTAATCCATGACAATGTTATTCTAGGTGTAAAGTGGATATTACTGCGCTACCTAGCAAGCAGACCAATGTTTTAGAACTGCCAGTGGAGAAGCATCTGGGGTCTCTGCTAATGCTAATTGCTGTTACCCCCTGTTCAGGAGTTTCTATCTCTGATCTGTGTGTCTGCCCCTTGGGAGACCCCAGTGAAAGGAAACAGATTTCCCAGCGCTATGTGAGTTTTTGTTTTGTTTCTACTTTATTAAAAAAATACTGAAAATTGCATCAAAAGAAGATCTGTCCCAGTCGTAATAACACAGCTTCTAATGGAAAAAGGTATCACACACCATAATTATGTTTAGTGTGACAAGTGAATAGACAGAGCAGTTAGCCTCTAGCAATTTTGCTTTTTGCATGTGGCAGTTTTTAAACTAACAGTTCCCTTTTGAAAACTTGAATTACATTAAGACATTATCTTAGGAAATGAGAGACCATGAATGTTAAAAAATCATGATGAGAGAGAGAGAGAGAGTATTATTTAGAATTCTTTTCTCATTGTGGGAATGTGCTCTGATCTGTTCACTTTGTGAAGATAAAGCCTGATGATAATATTTAGTACTTTCTGTACTAAACCAGAGATCTTAATGTGCTACACAGGATAGATAAACATTATCACCCCCATTTTATAGACAGGGAAACTGAGGCATGGAGGGTTTAAGTGATTAGAGTCAATGGTAGAGCTGTGAATGGTGCCCAGATCCTTGACTCTGACTTCAGTACTCTAGCCATAGGCTCATGGTGCCTCTCTAAATATATCTTATACTTAGTTTTGGAATAATGCTATTTTAGTATTCAGATATGTGCTTGTTTCCTTTGAATCTCCTTGCCTAAATTAATCATTCAACTCCTGTACACTGAAGATTACATATGAATAAAAATAAATGATAAACAGTCAGTTTACATTCTGGCATGAACAGTGTAAGTGTGTTGCAATGGGATGAGGGTTGGTAGAGTTGTGTGAGTGAGTATCTGATAGTGAAACATTGAGCAGTGGGGACAGGGACCAAAATTAAGGGCTAGTCTACACTGAAGCTGTAAGTCGACCTAAATGACACTACTTCAGTTATGTAAATTATGTAACTGAAGTTGACGTAACTTGGATCGATTTACAGCGGTGTTCCCGCCTCTGTGTCGATGGGAGACACTCTCCCGTCTACTTACCTTATGCTTCTCGGGGAGCTGGAGTACAGAATTCGATGAGCTAGCACTCTGCCATTGACTTAGCAGGTCTTCCCTAGACCCACTAAATCAACACCGCTGCATCGATCGAAGCTGTGCTGATTTAGCCATAAGTATAGACATGCCTTATGGTTTTCTAGTAGTTTTATGGTTTTCTAGTAGTCCTTCAAAATCTGTCTCACTGAATTATTATATTTAAAAAGTCTCTTCGCTATTTTTTTCCAGTGTATAAAGAACTCCCTTCAGGACATGAAGGACATAGGCTTCTTACAGGTCAAAGTTTTAAAGGCAGTCGACCTGTTGGCAGCAGATTTTTCAGGTATTAAGTGTCTTCCTTCTTTTTATTTTGGGTCTTTTCTGATGTGTTTTGATGCCATGTTACATGTTTTTGAGGTGTAGTGCATGTTAGTGAATCCATCACTCAGAAGGCAGTGCCATGAGTCTAGCAAAGCAAAGTAAAACTTGTGTATCACCCACTTGTTAAAGCTTTAAAGATAAAATATATGCCTGGGAACTGGGGTCCCACAAGCCCTATGCATCACTTAAGTCCCCAATGTAGGGCTTATGTGGTACTTAAGTGGTAAACAGATTTTGTGGGCCCACTGCACTGGGGACAGCTTTTCCCTTCATATTTATGAGTGGCATGTCCAGTAATTTTTGTCTTTTTCCTAATAACTTAAATAAATTAGGGTTCTTGTGAGTTGAACTGTGGGATGTTTGTGTGCAGTACTGGCCCTGGTACCTGTTTCTAATGCTGGAACTGTAACTATTATCCTGAAAAACCTTACCCACGAAGATAAGGGTTTGCTGGATCGAATTCCTAGTCCTGTGCTCAGGCCACCAGAGCACACCATCTCATTAAGTGCAGTTTAGACTTGCTGTCAACCATAGATGGAAAACTACCTGAGATTTCTGTCTGAAGCAGAGGCACTCAAGTGGCCAAATTGTTGTGGCATCAAGGTCTTCCTAGGTCACATCTGAATATCTAGGAAAATTACTTTTCCATCGTCACATGGTATGTCTCTTTGTAGCCTGTGAGCAGTTTACATCTAACCATTCCGCGTCCCCAAGTTCTAGAGAACATGATACGAGATGTCATTACTTTTCTCTTGCAGTTCTCTGTCCCACCACTTCACCGTCCAGCCCCTACGTTCATGGCTCTAATATAGACTAGTTTCAGCACAAGTGAAGTGATCCACTATTATTGCTGTAAATTGTGATTTGTGCCAGTGATCTTTAATTCAGAAGCACAACCCCTTTAGGAGCTGTGTTAAATGCTCTGGGTTAAACACTGCACTCCATTTTCTGCTGATAGGCGGGGTGTAACCATATTCCACACGTGGCACAAGAAATGTGATCAGCCCCAGTGGACAGAGGTCCAAGGTGTATTCATCCCCAGCTGCAGAGAGCCAGGCTTGACCCTGATGGCTGTAGAACAGACGTAATCACAAACATTAACTCACTGGATATGTTCTTGGCTATTACAAGGCAAGAACTGCATATGTTAGTTGCAATATGAATGACACTTGTCAGGTAGTGCTAACAGGCAATTATTCTCTGAGGGTGTAGCCCCATTCATTTCCCTTTGCTGACGGACTAGTTGACTCCATGGTAGTAGAGGATCACTGTAATCTAGGAATCACAAAAAACACCCAGAGACTTAAGTATCAGTATACTGGACTGGAGAGAGAGGCCTGTCAGCAGTTAAAATATATATTTTAGACCATGTTGTTTATTTTTAACATCCGATTTACTGCAGGCTGTACCCTTTGCTGAGATACATGTTCATTTATGAGTTGTGACCCATGTTATCGGGAGAACCCTTCTTCATCACTGTTGGGACAACTGAACATTTTGCTAACCAATGGAGGGCTAGATTGGGGCAAATGGAAAATAGCTCTGTTCTGGGGTGAAAATTTGCCCCCTCATTACATGGATTTAATTAGGAGGATTTAGAATGCCGGGGCACTATTTTGCTCTTGCTTCTTTCAATATGAATCTGGAAAATAAGTCTTGGAAAAGTATCTACAAAGTGACCATGATTCAACTGCTGTTTGCTGGAGGTGCCATGTCTCAGCAACTTCTTGTGAGCTCATGAACTAAATAATAGAATTATAGAAATCCTCAAATTCTTTAATGTTCCACATTTACCTAGTATCCTGTTAAGCACTTGTTTAGGCTGCCTGAACATATGGGCCAATGCTCCCTTTTTAAGTGGAGGTTTATCAATGCCGGAAAATTGTGAACAGTGGTTCCTATTGCAGCTAAATAGTGAATCTGATCCAAAATATACTTAATATCGTAGTTTCTCTCTTAATAGGAAAAATAACGTCTCCCCTCTTTTGAGGAGATCAGATGTGTTGGGCATTGTGTTATTTTTGCACGGCACTTCTTAGAAGCTGATACCACTGAGTGGTAACTGATGAAATAATGGCAAATGTTGACATTTAACAACAACAAAAAAATCCGTGGTAGACATGAGATCTGCTACATCCAGTGTCTTTAATGGTGCATTCTTCAGATACAGGTCTGATTGTAATGAAAATATACTTCATCTTCTGGTTCTTTTTGACTCATCAGAGAGGCAGAGAGCTAAAGAGAAAGCACTGTCAACCCAACCTGGGGCCCTTATTCAGGCCAATCTCTGATTGTAACATCAGCAGCATTTCTCCAAAGTAAGGACTATAAAAGACACTAGCCCACATTTTCAAAAGTTCAGCCAATAAATAGTGTTACTTATAAGTGTAGCCCCCCTGCCCTTTCTCTCCCTCCCGCCGGGAACAGGTAAGGAACTTTTTTTATATACTAGCAATGCACTGAAGAACCGAAAGGATTAATGTGCAGATCTTCATTAAAAAAATATTAAAAAGTCCATGCGCAATAATGACCAGGATAGAGCTATGTGGGTCAGAAGCTTTGCCTTTGATCTTGAGTTTTCTCAGCTGGCCTTTCACCTGACTAATAAAGGGCTGCTACAGTATGTAAGCCTTTATTGGTTTCTTAGTTACTTTAGTTGCTCTTCATTAGTAAACTTAATAAGGCTAAATGTACTGTAGTAAAAAAAAAAAAGCCTTTATAACCTATGGGACTAATTCTACCTACAAACACACAGCATATTACAGGGAGTTTTGTCCACGGACAGATTTGGATCTTGGCTGTGTTCATCCTTTGTGTAACTCCACTGAGGGCCAATGGAGTTATAGAAGCAATGGATTTGGCCCCATTTCCCTAAATGCTTAAACAGGAGTGTATGCATTTGTGGGATAATGAACACTGAAATCGATGCTGGGGATCTTGATTTTGCAATTGAAAGACTTTTCATAAAGGGTCTGAAACACACATTCCTTGTGCACAGCACAGAATGAAATCCTGTTTAAGTGCAAGGTTACTTAGTCTGTCATTATATTCAAAATAACCGAGGCTTTGAGCCTGAGCCTGATTCATGAGGCAAATGACAAATTGTTTTGCAATGGCAGTGCTGAAAATATCCTAGTATTATGTGGTAATAGACCCGCCAAATTGCAAAAGGATGCAGCCATTTTAGGTAAAAATAGCATAAATTTCTGATCATGAAATGAGAGACATAAAGATTAATTATCTGTTCTGAGCCATTCATAAATGATTAGTGCAGCAATTATGTGCTTCCATAGTAGAACCCTCCCAAAGCAGTGCTGTATTTCCTCCACTGCCTGGGAGACTGTTCAGATTTATGATTTTTGATAAAAAGTAACTTAAGGTCCAGCTAAAAATCTGATAGAGACAATCAAGGAGACAATAAAAAATACAAAGACTTCAAAGGGTTAATAGAAGAGCAGTCTGAGCATGTGTCATATTTTCTCAGTAGCGCAATGATGATTCAATGACGGGAATACGTCTGCAGACCAATTATCCAGTTCTAAGTGCAATGCCATTTTATACCTTGTTACTTACTACAGTAATGAAGATCAGATTTCAGTATGGTTGGTATTTCTGTTATAGGTTGCTGCATGTTGGTACTGTACAGTTTACCAAATTTGAGTTTTTAACCTACAGTAATAATGAAAATCAGGACATTACATTATTGCATGCAATTCTGGCTTTTAAAGAGCTTTCTGAAAACTCACAGGTACTATTTGACTCAGGTTTAGACCAGTTACCATGTCCCATATTGAAAATGTAGATCTAAATATGTCTAGGGACTACAGAAGGAACCTCGTCAACCCCAACTAGTTCAAACTTGAGCCTCCCCTTTTTATATATATATATATTCCTAGATAATAGTTTTGTCAATGTGAAATGACTTTTTCTGCTTCATTGGATGTTTTTGTGTGCACATGAGCATTCTGTTCAAAGACGGCATTTGCTCACTGACCAAAAAATGGTATTCAGAACACAAAATTATAGAGTAGGATTGTCTTTTGGCATATACCATTTTGCATTTCAAACAGTTTCTCTACATCATTAAGTACATTTGCCACTTGTACCTGGTTCCAGCGTATAGCTGGGTAGGAGATGAATAGACTCCACTAAAATGTGAGATTATTAAAACTTTCCAAAAGTGACTGGTAAATATTCACTGTTTAGATACCGGAAAACATTTCTACTTAGGCTGTGAACTCCTCAGGACAGAGACCGGGTCTCCTTATTTGTTTGTAAAGTGCCTAGCACAGTTTGGGTACTATATTAATAACAGCAATTTAAAAAATCAACAGAAGTCTGCTTAAATGTCTGTTTTCTTTTATATAAATGTCTCCATGGCTGAGATACATACTAACCTAAATAAAAGTAAGACTAGAGTGCCTGTAGTTGAGCTAAATGTAAATATGAATACCTAAGATAATGTACTTAAATCAGATATATATCATAGGAACTCTGTTTATAGTGAAGTTTGTCTGAAAGCGCCAGATTGTTTTAAGGTTCCATGCTGTGCCAAATGCAGGTATTGCAATCCTCTGCTTATTGAGAAAAGTCACTAGGAAATATACCTTCCCCATAAAACGCTTCCACTCTGACACCCTCTTTTGACAGGATGTTTCCTTTAATAAGTTTCTCACTCTATGCCCTGATTCAGCAATTGGGTCCATTAGTCTGACCTGACTCTCACTGAAGTCACTGGGTGTCTGTATGGATTCAGAGATCTACTCGTGCAAATCTCATTGCAGGATTGGTGCTGAAGTGGGCACAATACTTTGCTTATTTTATGAGGCTGCATGTACTTAAATGATTATATAATCAACTGACACAAGCACAAGCTCTCAGCAGATGATAAAGCAAATTGAACTAACTGAAGCCCTGACATTTCCATAACCCAGGCTAAAAGTCTTCATGGTTCATAACCCTTGATCATCCGTGGAGGAGAATATAAAAACGGACACTTGTTCAGAATGGCACTACCTCTCTTATTGCATGTCATTTTTCTTGATAGTCAACATTGGCTGATCTTCCTAGTTACCAAAGATGTAAAGATTATTCTTGATAAGCTTTCATTTCTCTGTTACTAGAACAAATTGCCTACATGGATTAGAATAGAAAGTGCTTTGATAAAGTTTCAGAGAGGAAAACAGTGAATACATATTGGTTGTGTTGTTAATTTAGTAATTCAGAGAGAGGAAGGCAATTTCCAGTCACCTTAGTGCAGTTTATTCTTATTTGACCTACCGATCTCCTCCTCCCAACCCTGCTGCAAAAAGAGTGAACTAACTACTATCACATTATCTAACCCTTCTTTGTTTTATTTTATTTTTTTCACCTGTTCTTTCCACAGGTAAAAGCGACCCATTCTGTGTGTTAGAGTTGGGCAACGACAGACTTCAGACCCACACAATTTACAAAAACCTCAACCCAGAGTGGAACAAAGTTTTCACCTTGTAAGTGAATCGCATTTGAAAACATGCCGTAAATGCGAAACAGTGAGCAGCCCCAATATAACAGATATTTATTTTAGGAAACATGAGGTAAAGTTTGGGATATGTCACTTTCTCCATAGGAAGAAGAGGTTGACTGAGTTGTATTTGATACTTCTCCATTAAAGCATTTTGCCTTTTTCAATCCTGGCATGGAGTTTATTAATAGAAGTCATAACAAGAAGAAACCGGGATATTTATAGGAAGATTCATGACTATATATAATAGACTCCAAGAAGTTATATAGCAGACCTGAAAATGGAAACCTAGATAGTCACTCTTAGGTTTTCCATAATTTAAAATAAAACTTGTGTTTTGTTTGGATAAGGGAGAAGTTTTGTTTGTGGATAAGGGAGAAGCTGTGGATGTGGTATACCTAGACTTTAGTAAGGCATTTGATACGGTCTCGCATGATATTCTTATCGACAAACTAGGCAAATACAATTTAGATGGGGCTACTATACGGTGGGTGCATAACTGGCTGGATAACCGTACTCAGAGAGTTGTTATTAATGGTTCCCAATCCTGCTGGAAAGGCATAACGAGTGGGGTTCCGCAGGGGTCTGTTTTGGGACCGGCTCTGTTCAATATCTTCATTAACGACTTAGATTTTGGTATAGAAAGTACGATTATTAAGTTTGCAGATGATACCAAACTGGGAGGGATTGCAACTGCTTTGGAGGACAGGGTCATAATTCAAAATGATCTGGACAAATTGGAGAAATGGTCTGAGTTAAACAGGATGAAGTTTAACAAAGACAAATGCAAAGTGCTCCACTTAGGAAGAAAAAATCAGTTTCACACATACAGAATGGGAAGAGACTGTCTAGGAAGGAGTACGGCTGAAAGGGATCTAGGGGTTATAGTGGACCACAAGCTAAATATGAGTCAACAGTGTGATGCTGTTGCAAAAAAAGCAAACGTGATTCTGGGATGTATTAACAGGTGTGTTGTGAGCAAGACACGAGAAGTCATTCTTCCGCTCTACTCTGCTCTGGTTAGGCCTCAGCTGGAGTATTGTGTCCAGTTCTGGGCACCGCATTACAAGAAAGATGTGGAGAAATTGGAAAGGGTCCAGAGAAGAGCAACAAGAATGATTAAAGGTCTTGAGAACATGACCTATGAAGCAAGGCTGAAAGAATTGGGTTTGTTTAGTTTGGAAAAGAGAAGACTGAGAGGGGACATGATAGCAGTTTTCAGGTATCTAAAAGGGTGTCATAAGGAGGAGGGAGAAAACTTGTTCACCTTAGCCTCTGAGGATAGAACAAGAAGCAATGGGCTTAAACTGCAGCAAGGGAGGTCTAGGTTGGACATTAGGAAAAAGTTCCTAACTGTCAGGGTGGTTAAACACTGGAATAAATTGCCTAGGGAGGTTGTGGAATCTCCATCTCTGGAGATATTTAAGAGTAGGTTAGATAAATGTCTATCAGGGATGGTCTAGACAGTATTTGGTCCTGCCATGCGGGCAGGGGACTGGACTCGATGACCTCTCGAGGTCCCTTCCAGTCCTAGAATCTATGAATCTATGAATCTATGAATCTATGATAGAACTGTGGTTCTGCACATAATTTAATTTGAAAATGAACAGGAAGTAGAGTTCTGATTGTCCATGATAAAACAGCTGAGTTTAAATTAGGCAATAAGAAGCCCTACCCAAACCAGAAATTTACACCTTAATCAAACCAAAAATATGTGTGATTTTTAAGTGAATTTGATGCCTGTGAAAAGTGCCCTGGAGCCTGAAGGCCTCAGTATTCACAGAATAGATGCAAAGCAAGGTCATCACATGGGTTTTTATAGTGAAAATTTCTCCAGTAGTGACCCACCTACGTTTTTTTTTTTTAGGGCTAAAGTGGAATAATAACCACTTATTGGAGCTGAGAAAAGAGTCTGCGTTCCTTAAACTATTCATTCCTTGTCCACTGCTGTTGAGGCTATTGATAAAGAGTGGCAGTTTTATCTTTATGATGTGGATGCTAGTCCACTAGGAAACTAGTCTTAGTATTATTGATTCAAATCATACAAGCTAGCATGCAGAGTGGCTGGGCTGGATTTAAACAAGATGAAAGGTGTCATATCTTATTGCTGTGGGGTCGATGGAAAAAACTCTACCAGGTATTTCCACTGAGTTCACTGGTGCCAGAAAATGAAATTGTGGAACATCTAGACCTCTTTTGTCCTCTGGCCCCTACTGTGTGTCTTTTATAACTCTCCTTCTTACCCTATTTGTCTATTCTCAAGAAGCTCCGCATGCATCACTATTTATCTTGAGCTAACATAGTTTACCCTTGGTCCAAATTGGAATGTTTTAGTAAATCTGTTCATATACATTCTATATGACTTTCTGTTCTGTTTAGGTTCTTGGACTGTGCCCATCAGTGTAGTCTGAGCACTCTTGACATTTTATATCGCTAATAGCCTGTGTACAACTATTTTGATAGTGTTTTTCAGTTTATCTTTGAACAAATGTGGAGGTAAAGCCTCATAAACTGGCAGGTTCTGGTAGCCATTTACTTTTTCTGGGCTCTCAAAACTTTATGGGTATATATTTAATTGCTGTTTATGTAACTCACATTACGCTAGTGTAGGTATTTGTCTCCCTTTACTGGCTGTCTCCCTCTACTCTCTCAACCTAAGAGATTAATGAGTTTTCTATAGCAGCCTGCTAGGGGAATTAGTATTTTAGTTAATGCTTTTAGTGCAATAGGTTCCAAGCTCAGTCCTTGGTGGACATGCATCCTAAGTTGTGGCCCTGTTGCTGCAATGTTCCTGGAATTAGTTGTCTTCTAGCTAGAGTAGCAGCTCTGTGAGGCTTATCTTCTACAACAGTGGCTCTGAACCTTTCCAGACTACTGTACCTCTTTCCCAAGTTTCCCTCACTACTTGCTTACAAAATCAGACATAAAAATACAAAAGTGTCCTACCACACAATTACTGAAAAATTGCTGACTTTCTCATTTTTACCATATAATTATAAAATAAATCAATTGGAATATAAATAGTGTACTTATATTTCAGTGATTAGTATATAGAGCAGTATAAACAAGTCATTGTCTGAATGAAATTTCAGTTTGTACTGACTTTGCTAGTACTTTTTATGTAGTCTGATGTAAAACTAAGCAAATATCTAGATGAGTTGATGTACCCCCTGGAAGACCTCTGCGTACCCCAGAGGTACATGTGCCCCAGTAGAGAACCACTGTTCTATGAGACCAAAGCCAGATGAAGCATCAGTGTTTGGTTGTGTCAGTTGCACTTGGATAAACAATAACTTGCTTGCTTGCTTTCTTCCTCCTTCCCTCCCTCCCTCCAGTCATCTACAGTTACCCAAGCTCACACAGACACCAATACGTTTTCCTGGATGAATCTCTTATTTACTAATGATCCTGATGACCAGTTGAGATTAGCAGGCAGGTGTCATCCCCAGTAAAGCATATGGATTAGATGGAAATAATAATATTATCTATTTTGTTTGAAGGCTTTTAGAAGTTTTTTAACAATTTGGCTTGTTTTTTAGTAATTTAGAAATGGGGAGAATTGCTTAAGTCAGAAAAAAATGAGAGAAATTTTCCTCTTTACGTACCTTTTTGCCACATATACACACCTTCCTAAAGTCTGACTCAAACTTCTTCTCTTGCCCACCTTCCTCACCCTCCTATGTGCCATCAGTGTCAACATCCACACACACAGAAATCTCACTGTCTAGCAATAATTGTTGTCTTTCACATGGATACGTGAATCCTGCAGGAGGGAAAAGCTTGGGGAATAGCCTTGGTTTGATTTAATTTTTGGAATTTAATTAAATGCTAGTTTTATACTCCAAGGTAATGCAGACTTAATTAGTGCAACACTATTCTCTGATCTTCCTGGAGCAGACTGCATGTGTACAGACCATTGTTTGTGCTTCTCATTCCAGCCCTATTAAAGATATCCATGATGTTCTTGAAGTGACAGTGTTTGATGAAGATGGAGATAAACCCCCTGATTTTCTTGGAAAAGTTGCTATCCCTTTGCTGTCTGTAAGTTACCTTGGCACGTGTATCATTCGAACATTGATGGTTTCATTGGGAGCAAGTTGCATTTCTTTCCCTCTTCTTTCTGTCTCTCTGAAGCAACTCAGATCTAGATATAAACAACCTCTTTTTTGGGGTGAGGGGGTGGGGGAGTTGTGTGTGTGTGTGTGTGTGTGTGTGTGTATGTATATATGTATACACACACATATACATACAAGTGTGTGTGTAAGTGTATATATGTATGTCTTTGTTGGTCAGTGTTTACAGTCCTCCTTACTGTCACAAAGGTTGCCAATCCCCTTCAGTCCAAATATGTTTGATTTGGAAAGAAAACTACTGAAATATCTAGTTCATCAGTGCAATATGCCATTTTGGTCTGAAAATATGATTGCACTGTTTTTCTGTATGTTTGTCACCTCACCTTTCAGTAGTAACAATTCAGATATGTCTTTGTTCATTGTTGCTTCTCGATACTCCAAGAAAGTAATTGCACATCACAATAGGATTGACCAAATAGTTGTCGTCGGCACAGCTGAGCAAAATTACATAAAAGGGTGTGTTTTACCACATAGTCCTGCAGTTTTTGTTCTGTAAGCAAATGTGAAGAGAGGGCGATCATGGGAGAATAGAAACAGAATTGCATTCTGGTATCTCCTAGGAACTCCGGTCCTGGACCAGGACCCCATAGCTCTAAGCGCTCTTCACACACAGAACAAAAAGACAGTCAGTCCCCGCCCCAAAGATTTTATTATACAAGTAAAAGACAGAGGACAACAGATGGATACAGACATAGATGGGGGGGAATGCAAGGAAACAATGAGACAACACACAGCATGACAGGCAGTGTGAACAGTATTACAGTGAGTATTGATAAGACCCCCGGTAGTAAAGTTGGAAAATTAGCTTGCATGACAAATCCCTGTTTTCATGTGCTAATGGCTTGTATGAAATAAGTTCACATTTGGGGCTGAAACTTTCCATGCTGGTCTCGTCAAAAATAAATAAATAAATAAATAAAAGAGCAGAGGGTGATGGTGTGGGGAGAAAGTAGATCAAAATCTTTTCAGCTGTTTTTTGGAAGTTTAGGAAAGCAAGAAGCAAACACCTTTCTCGTTGTAAAGAAGCTGTATCCACTCATTTAAAAACAGAACTACAACAACAACAACAAATGGCTGGAGTTTTAAAGCTGGGTGGGACATAGTCTTCACTGAGGACTAGTTGCCTTAGCTTGGTTTGGTGTGTGTGTGGGGGGGAGGTGAGGTGGGGGAAATTACAATTAAAATAATTAAGCAACAGAAAAATGACTTTGGAGTGTGCTCAATAGTTCCAGAATCTTACCAGAACTCAATGAATGCCTGTCCCCTTTATGATGTCACTTCCCATTCTCTCTGCTTGAACAAACTAAGGGATGACAGGAGCTGGTGCTTTCAGGTTTTCTGTTGAACAATTTACATGAGGGAGATTGTGGGGTAGGGAACAACACCACTGCTTGCCCCATCCTCCAAAACGAGTGCTTTAACATCCAAGATCGGGCAGAGGGGCACTCTCAGGGTTAGGAGATGTAACATTTTAGTGTGTCTGCATTTTTTACTGCAATCTGCAGTATTTTATATATTCTACCTTTTCATTTTGCATAAAGAATTATTTTTTCTGTCTGAAAATATCTGCTTCCCTATTAAACCAGTCCTGCAGAAAATTGTTGGCAGCCAAACAGCACCAGCAAAGTCAGAAACTCAGGCCCCAATCCAGCAAGCATGAAAGCACATGCTTAATTTTCATGCTGGGAGTAATCTCATTGACTTCAGTGAGACAACCTATGTGCTTAAAATTAAGCATGTGCTTAAGTGCTTTGCTAGATGATAACTTCAGAGCCTATTTGTGACATTATGAATCACAGACAATTTAATTATTTTAAAGAAGGAAGTTAAGTTTTAAAAAACTACATTAATTGACTAACATTGTTTCCAGCAGCAATGTTAACATAGCCACAGTACATATATAGTGGGTAGCATTTTCTATTCTCTGCGTGTGTGTTTGGTTGGTGGTGGAGGTGTCAGTTACGTGGCTTACTATATCACTGTTTTATATTTTAAAATATTTATCATTCCAACATATAGGATGTCATGTACAGCAGAGTGAATGCTGCTGTGAGAACCTTACCTTTTGCAATCTCTGCCTTGTGTGCAATTTTAACTGCATTAATGTAGGTATTTGCATTTCATATCTACTTTATCAGAACTTGTATATATGAGGCATTGGAAAAGTACTAAGAAGCATTCAGTAGTCAAGTGGCTACCAAGCAAACATATCAACTTTGATTTCAGTGTAGATGTTTATGAAAGGGGTTGAATACAGAAGGCAAGCTCTGTGGATCCATGTGATGATAAATGGCTGCCTTTTGTATGAATTGTCTGCATAAAGCTAATATTGATAATCCAATACCACAAAATAAAGTGCAGTTATACTCTGAAAAGTGATTCTGTAAGAACAGTGCTCATGGGTTCCAGTGTGTTCTTCCTCTATGATCTCAGTTCACAGTCTCTTGCTTTACAAGTTAAGAGATTTGTTTTTTCTAATTGTCAGTATAACTCAACCAGGGATCTGAAAGTCACACTGAGTTCTTTCTTGTTGATCATCACCAGAAATAAAGTCTAAATAGTATCATTTTAGGCAGAGGAGGGACTCAATAGTTCTGGAAATCAGGTCCCATTTATTTATGCACCTAAATATCAGTTTTGGTGCATAATTTTAGTTTGAAAAAATTGGTTTTAAGTAAATGAACTGGAAACAGAAAAATGGATGGACTAAAATGGGCCTTTTTTCCTCTTTAATTCCCTCCCCCCCCTTCTTTATTTTCTCTCTTTGTGGGAATGAAGGATGGGGTGAATACAGAATGGTATGGGTGGAGTTTAAATGCATGACTTTTGTAAATGTTGCTATTTGAAGGCCTGATCCAAAGCCCACTGTTGCCCAAGGGAGCATTTCCATAGATTTCAATGTGCTTTGGATCAGATTTGATACGAACATAGTCTCATAACATGTAAAAGTGCTTCAAATAATACATGTACATTCCTTCTCAGATTAGAATTCCAGGGTGTTTTGCAACCCTCTTAGTACTCTGCTACTGTGACTCCATGAGTTCCTTAAGACATTCATTTTCTGTTTGTCCATTTTAGTGGCATGAGTCATTGACATCTGCAATTTTAGAACAATATTAAAGTCAGCTTCATGTGAAGAACCATTTGATATTTACAGGGAGGAACAACTCTGAACATCTTTTATTCCGTTTTTGATCGCTTGGTTAATTTTTCCCCAAGTCCTCGTATCCCTGATGTTACTGGAAGAGAGTGGCTCGAGCAGCTGCTCTCCTGCAGAACCTGTGCTTGCCAAATCGTCTGCATGATCGACAGCAGGCTGTGTGGGCTCACAGTGAGGAGATGTTAGATTTGGATCCTCTGTTGATTTTATAGGCATTTGTTAAGTATCCCTTAGGAAGCCTGTAACAAGGCAGAGGAGGGGATTGTGTATGTGTGTGGTAGAGTCCAAACTCCATTCAGTCTGGGTTCTTTGTCCAAGATTTGAGGCAAAAAAAATTGTTTATGCTTTCTCAAGCCAACTGATTTTTCTTCCTTCCCTTCCAAACGTCTCTGCCTCCTATTTCATGCAAATGTAGTGTAAATATACTGTTCTCTGCCTATGATTAAAAACCACTTAGCACCTATTAAGTTAGTCTGATCAGTCAGAGAATCGCAGTGTTCTGAAACTCTCTTCTTTGAAATCGGAGTCTTTTTTTTTTAACCCAATAGTGTTAGCACTTTGTCCATACATTTGAGTGTACCCTCTGAATTCTTTTGAGAAATATATTACAAGAGAGCAGTAGTTGGAATCCCATGGATGGTGGCCGGTAACCACACAAACAGTCTAATTCATAGGTGATTGGGCTTAACCTTTGCCTGGCATTAAATCCATCGCCAAAAAACAAAAAGCATTTCACGATATTTTCTATCTCTTTGGTTAAAAATGCATGAGTTTTACTTGAGATATGTTTGCAGGTGAGATGCATTTACTTGTAGATTCACTTGTGGGTGACGGAGATTCTCATCTTAATAAAGAATAGACTTCAGTGTGTGTACATATGGTGGGTGTGTGTGTTCCCCAACTATTCAAATTTGAGAGTATATTTTGATTCAGATGTGGTCCGGATTTTCTTAGGTTGATGCTTTGCACAAAATCAAGGGTTCAAGCTTGTGAATGTTCATCACCAATGAATGTTAAGCTTAAAGGCACAAATATTAACCAAAAAAATCAGTTGGACTCCATTGTGATATTTGATATTTGCACTTCATCCTGAATTAGTCTGTTCCATACATCATCCAATTAAGGAACAGAAACAATAACATATGGGATGGGGGAAGAGTTCAAAAAAGAATTTGCCAATAATTTCAAATAGTGAATGAATTTGAGAAATTCATATTCGGTTGGTGAACAGAATAAAGCAAAATTTGCTGACCAAATTATTTGTGAATTTTTATACAGCTCTAACAGTAACATTTAGTACTTAAATTTTCAAAGAACCATAGAAACATTAACTGATTTTTATAATGTCCCACTGCACTAGGTTTTATCTCCATTTTACAGGTAGGGAAATTGAGGCAGGGAAGTTTTGACTCCCCAAAGGCCAAACACTCTGTCAATGTGAGTCTGGATCAGCACTTGGAAGGTTCTGGCATCAACCACTGAAATCAAGACCAGACTTCATCTTTGCTTAAACCAGGGGTCGGCAACGTTCGGCAGGCTGCTTGCCAGGGTAAGCACCCTGGCGGGCCAGCACATCGCTCGCCCGCGCCGCTTCTCGCCGCCCCCATTGGCCCGGGACGGCGAACCGCGGCCAGTGGGGGCCGCGATCGGCCGAACCTGCCACGTCAGCAGGTAAATAAAACTGGCCCGGCCCGCCAGGGTGCTTACCCTGGCGAGCCGCGTGCCGAACGTTGCCGACCCCTGGCTTA